AAATTATCATTTTAGTGAGTCATTTAACCATGAATTACAGTCTTTGGGAGGCCTTTGACTTTCAAACACATTAAAATGAACAAATTTTTATGTTGAACTTCTTTGACACAAAATCTCAGTGGGTGCTTCAAGTAAATATTAAGTTACCGGTTAATGGTCACATGATATGCAGGTAAACAAATAACAATGTTTGTTTTTATTTTTAAATAATTAATTGACTTTAATAACATTTAATTAATATAATAATCATAACTTTAATGATTTAATTACTTAATAGCTTTACATTAAACTCACAAACCCCTGCAGTTCCATTAGGAAACCCCAGTCCATAACATAATGCAATATTTAAACTTCATGTTGTTGATTATTAAGAATGGAAGATATTTTCTTTCTTTTATTTGTAGTTTTATATCAATAGAGTAGTATAAGGTTACCCTATTCAAATCAATGTGATAAACTAGTTAGGTCAAAAGTAATCTAAAAGTAATCAGATTATATTACCTTAAATGAGTAATGTACTATCAAATATTATTATTACTAATACATCTACAGAGCTTAGTAACTATAACATAATTCCCATGAATCAGTTTTATGATCTGTGGCTCGTGTTTATAGATTAGATGGTGCCCTCTGCTGTTCATTCATGTGCATGTAAAGTGTCTCCACTTGCTGCAAACTATTTATCAAACTAAGAGCTTGAGGTTCTCTCAGAACTGAGCCGTTAGTGCAGTTACTTTCAACCAACTCTTTCAAAGCCATTTGAGTGGATGTATGTCATTTCCCCTCATGATCCAAATGATCCATTTGAACATGATCCACAATTGTCTGACAAAACTGAAACCAAATAAGTTTTCTCCCTACATTTTAAAAGTATATATATATATTGTTAAATGTTATTAATTTAAACATATTTATTTGTGTGAAATGATGATAGCACAAGCACACCTTTCAATTTGTAAAATATTATTAACAGATATGAATTTCTTTGATATGATATCCTCACTCTTAAGTTAACTAAACAATCTGGTATATGTACAAAAACCATGTCTTTATTAAGCAAATTATTCACAGAAATAGTGAGGATTTACATGCATAATACATTCTTATTACATAAGATGCAACTGAAAACAAATTAGATTTCAACACAACTATATATGAACAGCATTATTATATATGTTCAAGGTGTAATGTTTCTATGCAGAAGACTCTGAGTTTAATTGTGCTGTGGTATTGATGAGATCTCTGGGTAAAGTCTCTCTTGCTTCCTGCATGCGCTTATGGGCCCTCTGAAACGCTTCTGAAATCACAAACACAGACCAAATCAGAAAAGAAATTTCCTGCAAAATCTGATATATTGCCATTATGTACTTCAGTCAATTCAAGTCAATTTTTACATTTTCTGAAGTCTGCACAACGATGCAAGAGTATCTAGTTCGATGGTAATTAGGGCATTGGTGGACAGTTGCTGAAATCAACCAAAATTGATGGTGGCCCTTAATGCACATCTAAAGTTGTGATCTCATTTACTGTTGCACAGTGGGCAAAATACAGTCATTCTAATAGGATTTTGCACAATTTCAATCATTTTCCAGTTGGTCACGTAAATTTGCCACGCTGACCAAGAAAGCAGTTTAGAAAGTGACTTCGTGTGAACAATGTTTTAACCATCTTTACACTACTGCCCGCAAAATTACACTAATTTCACTTACGTGATTCACTAACTTTTTTGCTATTTCTGCTGTAACACCAAAGCTGCTAATTTTTAACTGTTGTACTGAAACCAAGGGCTAGTTGTTTAAAAGTAATCTGATCGGATTTCGGCTATCGGATTAAATCAAATCTTGAAAATGTGTTGTTCAAAAGAAGAAGGAAAAAAAGTTCTTTGCAAATGAATGCAGTTTCTTGGAGAAAATCAAAACTTTTGCAAAAGTACAGTATATACTATATATATATATATATATATATATATATATATATATATATATACTGCTTGTAATTAAAAATGGTAGGGGATGTTTTTTTTTGTTTGTGTTTTTTTCTCTTCAAATAAAACACTTAAAGTGACCCACATTTATTCCCTTCTGTTGTTCTTTACTAATAGCCTACAGTGTGAATGTAACCCCATTTTGAGCACTAGTGATCCAAATTTGGTAATCTGAAAAAGTGTGTATCTAGATCAGAGGGAATCAATCTTATTTTGCATTGAAAAACAGGGACAACACTAAGATTGATACCAGATCCTGGATAGCAAAACATGGGATTTCCAAATCTATATTATTCTGATCCAGGTTAAGCCTAGAAGTGACAATATAACACAATTATTATTAATTCTAGAATTTTCAAGAACTGAATGTTCTGAACGACCAATTCATTTACATGACTTTTTAAGTCGTTCATGATTACAGGATAATTATTTCATTAATATTATTATTGACTCGCAAATACCAATAATTTTTAGCTTGACATAAAGAGAAATATGTAAATTCCTATTACTTTTTTATTTAGATTTTTTAAAAGATTTTATGAATTTACACAACTTCTCAAGTTCTGGCGATCACACTTTTAAAATTCCCTCACATATCCAGGTTTTCCAAAAGCATGGTAAACCTCATTCTCAACTGAAAAAAAGATAGTTGTTGAGGGAACAAATGAGAAAAATTAGAAATGTGATGTCATATAACATTTAGATTTTTATCTGTTTTAATTAGTTTGTCATATTTAAAGCCATTTAATATAATAATGTGTAATAATGTATTTAAGGCATCTTGCGGCCCCCTTGGAAGTGGACCCAAGTGCGTCCTGGCCCCCTTTGTAGAGAACCAGTCTAAAATCGTGTCCACTTTGGACATGACCATTGCAAATCCATTTGTCTTTTGTATCAGAAGTAGAACGAGCGCTTGAAATACATCTGAAATACAACAGGGTATCAGTTTACCGTAAGGAATTTGTCATGTTGTGTCACGTTGCATGCATCCAGTAGAGAGCATCACTGATTATTATGGGTTCTATTTGCTTTTGTTGTGCTGCACCGCTCGCTTGAACCATTACTTTTCTTAGCAATCAAACTTATGATTTTCATTTGACAAAATGACTGAATCCTCAACGAAATTCCCAACTCCCGTAGCATAAACAGGTTGAGACGAAATAAGTGGAACAATTAGGGGGTTGTTAAAATCCCTTACCCTAAATATGAACATTTCCTTACCTTCCAATTACCTCAGCAAACAGCACTAATAAATTGCAATAAAAGGCCTTCCTGAAGTTATTTAGACTTGCCTTACCCAGAACATTATAGACAGAGCCCTGCTGACTGTGACCTCCCAACTGATCCAGAACAGTCTGTCTCCTTTTCTTCAGGGTGCTGGCATCAATAAAAGCTCTGAATAAAGTACAACAAGCACTTACAATCTCAATTGGACAAAATAGTACTGCTGAAAAAACAAAATGCATGATTTAGTGGTTGTGTTGGCTAACCTGGCATGCTGGATACAATTAAGAGTAAAGGTCACACTTCCAGTGGTTTGAGTGCGAAAGCCAAAGCGACTCAATCGCTCTCCCTAAAAATAGAAGCAAAGTGAATTAATGGACATGCTAATACACAACTTCACAGCACAAAATGTATAAAGAGTCACCTTGAAAGTGCCAGGTACTCTGACATAACTGATGTCCTCAAGTTCAGGTGCTCCGCCGATGAAGAAGCGTCTCAGTTCAGCCACCGTGCCGGGCTGGAGGGGTCTCCATGTGCGACAAGTCATTCTGTGACGCCCTGAAAGCATAAAAGACACTATTTTATAAATTATATTTTAAATTATATATACATTTTTTATAATTACTTGTAACACAGTTCATTTATGATATCTAGAGCCCAGTAGTTTAATCCTGCAGTTATTATGTTGATTTTTATTTTATGTGATGTTTTTGAAACATTATTAAAATGTAAAATACCTGCTTTCAGTTTTCTTATTATCAATATCTTTATAGAACAGCATGTATTTGAATAGAAATATTATAATGAATGTTTGTATGTTTTCCAGTTTGACCATGCCACACATTATCCTAATTTTACTCCCAAAAAATCAGTGATTCTAAAATGCTGGATACAAATTGGAATATTAGTATAGTATAGTATAGTATATAGTACTTCATTCTCAGTAAACATGTTTGTCCTACATAGTGTTGAGGAAATTACATTTTAACTTAAATTGGTGTTACAATTTGATGCTGCACTTTCATTTTGAACCTGCATGTGGTTCAGGAAAAAAATATATAATGTTTATGGTGCCAATACGTCACTTACATCAAAATTTTTACTCCCCCCCCCAAAAAATATTTGTTTTGTGAATTTGGTTATGCGTCAACAGAATCACAAGAACAATTCATTGATGAATTGAACATCACTATATTACACCATGCAAGACTCCAACCTGGCGTTGAGGGAATGACCAGGAATCCATAGCCCTCAGTTCTGTAGCGCTGCCAAAAATCCAGTGAGAGAACTTTGAAATACAGCACAGGCCACTGGGATAATGACCCTGCACAGAATATCAGCATCTGTGTTTATTCACTGAAAATGTATTGACAATGGTACTTTATTTTTATATCAGGTGGTCATCTATGTAAAGTATTTTTCCATTCTTTAGTTACAGATATTCTAAGGCAATCAAATATCTCACCATCAGATTCATCTTCTTTATGGAAGAAGGTCTCAAAGCTGAATGGATAGGAGAAGAAGGCAACATCCTCCTATAAAACAGAGAACATGTTTACCACAGTTACATGAACACAGAGCCAGCTGATGGGGTCCACTAAAATGACGAATTACCTTTCCCATGCTGCGTGTGCGACATGTCTGAGTCACACCAGACAGACACTGAATGGGAACACTGGACCAACCTAAAGAACATAGAGCAATCTCAACACCATGAATTACTGCCAGAAAATGCAAAAAAACGAAATACAGTAAAACTTGAAACGTCTGAATCAGATTGTGTGTTCTTCTTCTTATTTATTTATTTTGTGAAGAGAATAACTGTTGTTTTATCATTTAAAACTAATCAAACATTTTTGTGAAATGCTTTGCTTGAAAAGTGTGCTGCTGCTTAAATGTCACTTCGGTTTTGTCATCAAAAGCAATGTTAAGTGTGGCTTAACTGTTTAAACAACGGTTGCCACATGGGGTATGAGAGTAGAGTGACTTACTGTTTGGTAAATCCAGAAAGAAGTGGATGTACAGGTTATCATACTCATAACCCTGAGCAGAAACTAAAAAGAAAAATTGCCATATTATGATCCGTACGGCATGCATATAATGTATTGATGCTATACTGTTTTCCCTCCTGTAAATCTGGCCTCATTTTTAATTTATTGTAAATGTTATACTCACCGATTTCTCCATTTACAATCAGGCGAAGTATCCCTGGAGGTGGCTAAAGGAAGTTTTTGTAGAATCAGAATGAAAGGTTTACCTTTTTTATTTGGATTATAATTTAAACAGTTTTTTAATATTCTGACAGCATGTGTTTGGATAAGAATTTGAACGCTTACCATCTCGAAGTCTTGGCCAACCAGGCTGTTGAGGTAATCTTTGTGACGTGTGTACAGCTAAAAAGAAATAAAGAAAGAAATGTGTGTGAATGATGAATCCACCAGACAGGGTTAGCAATCCAACAATGATTGCCTTGGTCCAGCCAATGAATTAAATACTACTCCATGAACACTCTCTGTACAGTAAGTCAAGTTTAAGATGCTTTGATGAACAGAGTCTACTTAAAAGTAACCAAGAATTGTCACACTGGGACTATGTTCCAAATTGTGTTGGTACAATCCCAAAGTGAAGGGTGATGCTAACAGTCAAGCTCCAAACAATGTTATACTGTTGTAGTATTTATTCATATTTTGAATTAGCTTTTATGTTCTGTTTTTTTTTATTTATTTTAGTTGAAGTCTTAGTAATTTTCTTATTTGCTTTTATAGTTTTAGTACTTACACTTAAACCTATTTTATTTCAGTTTCCTCGGTTGTAAAGTTTCTATTTTCTCCATCTAATATATATATATAGTTTTATTTCAGATAACAAAAGAAAAAAAATTAATAAATAAAATACAAACTTTTTTCCTTATATGATAGTCAAAATCCAAGGCCAAAATATCATATTTATACTTTGCAGATATGGAAATTCCAAAACCAATTGCCCAGATGGTGAACATAGTTAATTTTAATGTAACTAAATAATTGTATCCAGTGCAGGAAAGTGTCAACAGAAAAAAAGAATTTCAATCTAATTTGTGACATTTTGTGAATCAACTATGAGTGACTCCTAAGGAGGAGTGTTTCAATTCAGCCACATGAGATTCTATTTGAGCTCTCTAAGGTTTGGAACAGGAGCTAAAAGTTTAGACCAAACCCTAAAAGTTTAGGGTGTCCAAACTTGGTCCTGGATGGCCACTGTCCTGCAGAATTTGTGTTGAGGCAAGTTAGAGCCAAAATCTGCAGGACAGTGGCCCCTACAGGAGCATGATTGGAAAACCCAGGTCTAAACCGTGTGATAAACCACAAATCCTTAGCAAGGGGAATTGGCCATACATCTCTGTACATGCGCTGCTCTCTCTCTTTCTCCTCCGCATGAATGTCTGATGAGGCATTCTCCAGATACAGCCTCCACACCTCCCTCTTCTCCCCCTCTGTTTCCAGCCTGGAGTGAAAGACAGTCAAATGAAGAGTTCAGATGCAAAAACCTCTAAATGCCATTTGAAATTTTCTTCTTTAATGATGATTTTTATCAAACTTGTATATTTAAGTTCAGTAATTTCACTTAAATGACAATTAATAGGTAATTATCATTGCCATTTAAGTGAAATCACTGAACTTAAATATACAAGCTTGATAAAAATTATCATTCGAGAAGAAAATTTCAAATGGCACTTGGCAAGAGGTTTTTGCATCTGAACTCTTCAAATACATTTGAACTTTTGTTCATCAAAATGAAGTCATCCCCACATTATTCTAAAGAGGAATTTATAGAAATGGTGGGTCTTACCTGTAGGCTCCTCTGTTGTTGTTAAAGTCTGGTTTTAATGTGATTACTCCATTACCGTCTGCTTTTATTGTGCATAATACATATTCATTTTCTTTCAGGCCCAACCTATGAAACACAGTCAGCTCAGTCAGTTGATAGATCGGATCTCACGGACAACTGGACACCATTGTCTGTTTATTTCACATTACTTTAAAAGACTCATATTATAAAAACCGAATTCTTGAACTTAAGAGTAAAATAAAGGAGTTTGTATGTAACGTTTCTGAAGATAATTTGCATAGAAGTCTTAAAGGTGCCGTATAAAAATTGGCCAGCTGGTTGAAAATGGTGATATTAAACTACATAATGCATTTTAAATGCAAAATACCTTAAACAACATTATAAGTGAATCTCAAGTTAAATTAATTATAGTAAAATGTATGATGTGACCCTATTAAGTGGCTTTTGAAGAGTTTCATTGTCTCACGTACTTTCCTGAAGGCCCAAGATCTCCCATGATGTGCATGGTCTGCACTGGTGTGTTGATGATGTGGCTGTTCTTTATGAACTCCTCTGAAGGCTCCCATGTGATTAAACGCGACTTGGAAACAGTAGACTCTCTAAATTATGTTAAAAAAAAGAAATAATAAAAAATTATGTACAGGTAAATCTTCTAACCTTCCAAAATATGATACATCCTTTACAGAAACTGTACACTTACACAGGACGTTTCTCTTGTCTCCTGTGTCTAACATTGGCCATGCGTTCTGCTAAGAAGGTTGGTGTTGACTGAGCTGGGATCAGCATACTTTGAGCTTGCTGCCAATAAAATCACAACTTCAGACAGCTATAAAACTTATGTAGTCTAGGTGAATCTCAACAAACCAGTCGAAATCATGTCTGGGTAATTTTTCACCACAAAAATTTATTTATTAGTAAGAAATTATTTTGTCAGTGAAAGAAGAGGAAGGGGAAGTTATTTTGATAAATGATTACAAGGGCACATGAATTAAGAAATATATAATCTGCATGGATAAATCATGCATAATAAATAATGGAATATTCCATAAAAAATACAATTTCACAAATTTGATTTCATGGTGACTAAAGAAAATAAAGCCTATTTTAGAAACATTAAGATATTTTGTATTGTGACATTATTTTTATGACAACTCTTAATTTCTCATATTGTCATGACAATGCAATGCACAATGATGCAAAATATTCTCAAATAGTTCACCCCAAAATTATTTCTTTCTTCTGTGTAACACAAAAGAAGACATTTTGAAAAATGTTGGTAACTGTTGATAACTGGTAATAGTTTAGATTTCCATTGACTTCCATTGTATGAACAAAAAATACGTATAGACCATTTCACAAGATGTAAACAAGACTGGTCCAGAAACACTTCCTGTTTCAGTTTGTAACTGTTTTCTTAATTTTACATGTAAAGAAAACATCTTAAAGATGTTTGTTTAACTTTTTTGATTCAGTTTTAAATGTTCTGTTGGTTGTATTTTATCCCAGCTTTTATGTAGTGTTAAAAAACAGAAACAGGAAGTGCTTCTGGACCAGTGTTGTTTACATCTTGTGAAATGGTCTATAGATTGGTAACAGGGATACTGTGAGTGAGAAATAAAGGGTTGCACGTTATTTTACAGTAAGTATATTTACAGTGTACTTAAAGTACAGTAAGTGTACTTACAGTGTACATTATCTTAGAAAGTACAGGGTAATACAAGGTAACTACACGTGTTAAGGTTAGGTTTAGAGGTAGGTTCAGGGTTAGTACCTAGTTATTGTAAATTACAATAAGTACAAGTATATAATATGTACATAACAGCTAGGACTATAAAATAAAGCGCTACCAACATTTAATTTTTCATTTCTTTTGATTCGTGGTGAAATATGACCACTTTTTTTTTTTTTTTAAGAAAACAGTAGCTAGTCAACCAACCTCTTCCCATTTGGAAAAGCGATCAAAGTCTGTGTAGGTGAAAATGCGCTGGTTTTGCTTCCTTTTGGATCTTTCAATTGCCGTGATTTCTGTGTGATACTGACGCTCCAGTGGTGTTTGACAGTTTGACTCTGTTTGATAAAGGTCCACTTCATACTGCACATGAATAGCAAGCAGAACTCATCAGATACACCATGAAAACAGGTAACCTGCCGACTATCTAGTAGTAGCACACATCTTTGCCTATACCAGTCCCCTACCTGACTGAAGAACTTCTCTTGCCAACCAACCACCAGTTCCTCCTCATCAGTGGCTGTGTAAGAATGAGAGACAATATTATAAACAATATTATAATAATATTATCCACAATATACCAGGTAAATAGTTGTGACTACTTTTTAACAGGTCTATATCCAGATATTTCACATACTGGAGGCTGATTGCGTCTGAGAGCTGAAGGTGTCTAGCTCTATAACTCCTCTTTCCCGCTGAGACATCATTTGCTGATGAAGGTGTTGAGACAGAGCGGCTGTCGATGTCACACGCTGTATACGCACTCTAAAAAGTAACAAATAGGACCATATGGTAATACCATGTTTTAATTAGGCATAATACAACAGTACTTTTTTAGTGACTTGGAGTAACGTTACCATAATGTACGTAAAGAGATAAATAAAGAGATTTTGGCAGTGTGGTGTAGTAGAGATGGCAAAAAAACGTTACTTCTAATGGAACTGAAATTAATTTACCGTGGTTTTACATGGTAATTCCAGGAATAGCAAGGTACTCCCATGTCCAAAATACATTAACATGTATAATGTCGCTGGGTACACTCAAGCGACATGACTTACCGTATGCGTAAGTTTTTAACTGCATCCCGGGAACGGTAAACCGATTCTCCGGTGTCCGTGCACCAGCCGTCGGCCATATCTGACACTCGGCCTTAAAACTATAAAAAAAATCTTTAGAATTGGTGTACCATCTGCATCGGTTACCAAAATTGATAACGTTACGTTTGTAATAATAATACTCGGGTAGGAAGTACTTTAGGGAACACACCAGGGCGTCTCGTTGCATGGTAACACAAACGGAAGCAGGAAGTCAATTGTGCGCATGCTTGGTACGGATGTAAATACGCTGTTCTCGAATCAGTCTGAGCTGCTTTCTGAAGCACCACACAGCAACGGAAGAGGTAGCCAAAGCTGATCTGGGAGCAGAAGCGATTCTAAAAACACTCCACGCTTTCATATCCACATGACAACTGCTAATGAACTGGAAGCTGTTCCACATGGTTGTATGTGTTGTTGAACAACGCACATAACGTTAGTTGTTTAGATATAACGTTACTTGAGGTCGGTTCTTTTGATATATCGCATGTTACTAATAGAAAATGCATTCTTTAAATAACGTTTAAATAACGTTGCTTATACTTTGACCCTGAAGGGCAAGTTAGCTTTTTGGTTAGCAGCTGCATCTAACTTCTTAAACCAGGTTTGCTGCTCTTAGTCAGATTAACAGTTAGTGTTCGGCTGGTTTTGTGTGTAAATCAGCAGGTCTACCTGATTGACCAGTTGAGAAATAAAAAAATATAAAGCCAGACTGCTTGAAACCAGCAAACTACCTTTAACTGATTAAAGCTGTTTAAGCATATCTTAAGTTACCAAATTATTAAAGGCAAATATGCAGTTATGGAAAACGAGTATCCAAGTCTTCAGAGTCTCAAACCGAACTAGGAGATGTTTGGCTGGACTGAATGAGTTATATATTACACCAGCATCTTTAACACAACATGCAGCATATACTTGCACAAGAGCACTTTTCTTTCCAAGAGACAGTGTTTCAAAGTCAGATGAGAGATTTTCCTCTAATAAACTCAAAAAGACATTTGTGTCTAGAGAGCGTAAATATGCTGCTACCAGAGATGATTTTCTCAAATCCACAAAAACACAGAGGAGAGAATCTCATGCAGCTCCATCTTCAAAAACAGAGAGAAAATTGTCATCAGATCTTCAGAAACTGAGGTTTGATGATTTCAGTGAGTCAGAAACCAGAAGGATGTTGCGGGATATCCAAAAAGACTCAGAGTCAAATGAAGACTTGGAAATTTTGTTTGGGGTGGGCCCTTGTTTGCTGGCCCTCACTCAGGGCAGAAGGAGGCCGAGTCGTCTTTTTGTGAAGAACGGCGAGGGGCCGCAGAGAGATGTGATTTTGAGGGTCTGTCAGGAGGCTGTCAGTCGTGGTGTGCAGATACAGAGAGTCAGTAAGCAAACACTTGACAAGATGTGTGGTGGCAAGGTGCACCAAGGATTGTGTCTGCAGGCAAGTTCTCTTGGGTTTATTAACGTGGAAAGACGAATAACATCTCATGAGGCGAAGAATCACAGGGCATTATGGCTGGTTTTGGATGGAGTGCAGGATCCGATGAACCTTGGAGCCATTTTGAGGTCTGCGTACTTCCTGGGAGTGGATCGGATTGCCTGCAGCATTCAAAACAGGTGGAGTGAAAAAAATGCTTTTTCTGTGTTTATTATGTCATAACGTTGTTAAATGATCAAATTAAAATGTGCTTTTAACTTAAACGTTGTATGAACTGTACTATTGATGTTTGCTTCTGATTATTTGCTCTCTTTGTTAGCTGTCCTCTGACGCCCACAGTGAGTAAAGCCAGTGCTGGTGTGATGGAGATCATGGAAGTGTTTGGCTACAGCAACTTGAAAGATATGATAAAGGTGTGGAAGTTGATCCACTTCACTCCACTTCACTGTGTTTACATGTGTGGCCTGTAGAGGGCAGTCAAATAATACAATTGTGCTTTAGTCAATGCAATACCAGCTAATCAAACTTTATAATTCTGAGCCTCCAAAAATGTATCAATCTTCAAGTTCTGTGAATTCTTCTGTAAAATGAGCAGGGATGGATCATCCACATGGAGCACTGGGCCTTTGACACCCACCAGGTTATATAAGAAATTGTGTTTTAAAAGGAAAGGAATGTTCATATTTGTAATTATTTGATATTTCCACGTGATCTCTCCAAATCATTAATTTGCCACCTGCCCTTGTCTGTTGTTTTTTCAACCTGTTTACAGTTAATTTCAGTAATTAATGACAAAAACATTTACAGGTAACTGCTCTTGTCACTAATACTAATTATACAAGTAGATAATGATTAATGGTGTTTTTTTTCCCTGCAAATCGACACAAAAATGCTACAAATATTAATGCAAATTCCATCTTGGACATAACAATTGTAAAGAAGTCCTGAAAGTCCCCAAAAAACAGAAAGTGGGACTGTTTCATAGTTAGAAATAAAAACAAATCTTCAATCAGTTACAGTATAAAAGCCAATTAATGTAAATGACTTGTATGAAAATATACCGTAGTTGACTTTATATGAAGAGTTCAGATGCAAAAGCCTCTAAATGCCATTTGAAATTTTCTTCTAAAATGATCATTTTTATCAAGCTTGTATATTTAAGTTCAGTAATTTCACTTAAATGGCAATGAAGATTACCTGTTAATTGTCATTTAAGTGAAATTACTGAACTTAAATATACAAGCTTGATAAAAATGGTCATTTTAGAAGAAAATTTCAAATGGCATTTAGAGGCTTTTGCATCTGAACTCTTCATATATTAGGAAGGAGGTAATTTGCAAGGTGTTCATCATGCATGGCATCAAACCTCTGGTTTAAGTTTTCAAGTGGAATGAACAATTTGAGAATTATCTAAGGAGACCCAACTACTAACAGTCTTTCCATCTGTAACCCGTAGAGGGCAGTTAAAGAAAACCATTGAGGTTTACACTGTGTCTGTCAAGTCCTTTTGAGAAACATATCTTTATAACATTATAACTAGAGCCCGACCGATAAAGGATTTTGAAGGCAGATACCGATACAAATATTTTTTTTGGTTTTAAAATCCGATATATATATCGGCCGATATTTTTTTATTTCTGAAACGCGCAACAAAACATTTAACAGACTTCCCTAACATTAGTTATTTGTAGTTATTTATGAGTTTTAACTAAAATAATATGATAATGCATTTTAAAAAGAAACTTGTTTCTTTTATTATCACAACAGAACAGACTGATGATAGTGGCATTAGCTAGCTTTATGGTTAGCTAGTCTATGATGAGCCATAATTTAGCAATGGATTACGTCATACTGCAAATTGTAAAATCTACATTTTCAATATAACAGTCCAAGCAGAGATGATACGTCTCATTGCTATAACTGTCACGCGCTATTAAAGAAATACTTCAGTCACATACACTGTAACAACGTAACGTAACTATTACTAGCTAATTCCGCTTCACTCTCGGCTTATTTAACAGCAGCAAAACTGGAGATGATTAGTCACAAATTTTGTCATGTTTATTTGAGTTAAGAAAACTGATGGGGATGTTCTTTTAATTGTTATTCAAGCAATGTATGTCTCGTGACCAACTCAACAAGTGTTGCCAACAGGGACGGTGTAGAGTGCCCTCTGGTGGACAAACTATACAACTCCAACAGTCATGACATGGTTCAAGCGTGTTTCGTCTGTTTTTATTTTATTTTTGAAATATTCATTTATCGGCCATTATAACTACTGATACCGATAGTTTGGAAAATCTCTAATATCGGCCGATAATATCAGCCTGCCGATATATCGGTTTGGTTCTAATTATAACCAATTTTGTATGACATTATAGGTGAAAGCGGAACATGGTTGGCAAGTAGTCGGCACTGTTGGATTAGAGGAAGCCAACCCGGAATCCCCTGTTAGGCCATGTTCAGATTTCAAGATATCCAGACCCACACTGCTGTTAATGGGTATGTGTTTAAACTTATTCGGACAGATAATTGTTTTGTTTTTTCTGTGTTGTCTAAATGCTCTGTCTGTCTCTGTTTGTGCTGTCAGGTGGAGAGGGTGACGGTCTGTCTCCAGAACTGCGTCAGCTGTGTGATATCCTACTCACCATCCCTCCACGCAGAAACCTGCACCCTGGAGTAGAATCTCTCAATGTGTCTGTAGCCACAGGTATGTGTTCTTACTTAACATTTACCTGTTAGAAATTTGACAAAACAGGTAAATGAAAAAAAAAAAAAAACATAGGTTGGAACCATAGCTCAGGAGGATTTGTCGTATATATAATGAATTTAATTAAATTAAAATGATCAAAAATGAAAAATGAATAACATCACCTGTAAAGCTTTAAAGGAGTAGTTCACTTTAAAAAAAAAAAACGTTTGCTGATTATTTACTCACCCCCATGTCATCCAAGATTTCCATGTCTTTCTTTCTTCAGTCGAAAAGAAATTAAGGTTTTTGATGAAAACATTCCAGGATTTTCTCAGTATAATGGACTTCAATGGGAACCAAACGGTTCAAGTTCCAAATGAGAGATTCAGTGCAGCTTCAAAGGTCTTATTAACGACACCAGACGACGAATAAGGGTCTTATCTAGCGAAACGATCGGTCATTTTAAAACAAAAATAAAAAACTTTAAGTTTTAAAACCACAAATGCTCACCTTGCTCTGTTCTGTGATGAGCGTTCGTGACTCTACTATTCAAACTCGTTCATCAAAATGAACAAATCTTTTTTCGAGTCATGACTCGAAGGGTCCTAGATACGACCCTTATTCTTCGTCTGGTGTTGTTTAAAGCCCTTTGAAGCTGCACTGAAACTCTCATTTGGACCTTGAACTGTTTGGTTCCCAATGAAGTCCATTATATAGAGAAAATCCTGGAATGTTTTCATCAGAAACCTTCATTTCTTTTCGACTGAAGAAAGAAAGACGTGGATATCTTGGATGACATGGGGGTGAGTAAATTACCAGCAAAAGTTTTTTTAAAAGTGAACTACTCCTTTAATATTGGTTTAAAGTCTGCATGAAACGGAAGTTTATACAAGTGTATATACAAGTGAAACTGCATCTCGAACAAGAAAAAATAAGGGTTGGGTCTTAATTTTAACGATCATATTTGATTGGATTGTTGTGGTTTGCTATTGCTGGGATGTCATACTGTATGCCTTCATATCCAAAAACACATAATCAGACAGAAGAAATGCCATTACAAGAGGGTGGGGATAGAGATTATGAGGGCACATGAATTAAAAAATATAATAATCACAGATATAATAAATATTCTATAAAAAAATCTGCCCATTTTAATTTTATGGTGACTTTAGGTTAACGCCTCTGCAGGCATCTGTCGGATATCTGTGTTCACTGTTAAAGGCGAGTGTTGTTGAATGTGAAGAAAATTAGTGTTTACATGCATACATATACGTATATACTATGTATACTTCAAATTTTTTAGGACTTAATATATGAATATAAATAAACTGAACATGGATTTAAAAAATAATTAAATATGTAGTTAAGTTGGCCTCTTTTAATGTGTTTCCGTTTTTTTCCTTCTTTCAGGCATCTTGCTGCACTCTCTTCTGTCCACACGCACAGGAAGATGATGATGGTGATGATGATGATGATGGCAACAAGGACAAGGCATCAGCCTGATTTACTCAGATGTCTCTCATTAGCCTCCTACAGTGATTAATGACTGGATTACTTCATCAATTAACAGTCTGAGAGTCTGGTGAGGCCCATTGATCAGATAAAGAGAGCATGTAGATGCATTCTGGTCCAGTTACTGACTATGACTGCCTTGTTTAATACAAGACCTGCACTTTACAGGGTCTCCAATCATCTGGGAAAGAGTCCTTCTAAAAACAGAGGTGTAATGTTTAATTATTCGCCTTGTTCCTGAAACATGTTAATTAGTTAACATTAGCCACATGAAAATGGATGAAAATTCAAGTTAATTTCATTTTAAATAAATATGCTGTAGATGGTTATGTTTATTGATCATTTTTTTGAAAATTCCCATTAAGCTGAATACGTAGTTAACTATTTGCAGTTTATATACCCAGTTGACCCATGCTGTGTATTTTCATTGATGGATTTGGCAGTTGCTTTCAAACAACTGTGTCTCGCAGATTGAAGGTATACAATTTATGAGTTTTAACTGATACCTTTGACCTTGGTGTTGCTGCGTTGTTACATTGTGCTGTATTGTTCTGCTCTGTTTGACTAGAGCTACAGAAATACAAGATTTTATTTTTATTGGTAAAACTAATACGTTTTACTCTTTAAATATATCTCTGAGCTTTGTAGGATGCTTTTTGAGGCTAGTGCACCTATGCGACAATAAAGAAGCAAATGTTACAAATATTTGTATATTTAAAGAGCATTTTAACAGCTTGGGGTCAAAATGTAGGGGTTGTGCTGTATATACTAACTATACTATTCAAAAGTCTAGTTGGGACAGTACATTTTTAAGAAATGAATACTTTCATATATCAAGCATGCATTAAGTTGATCAAAAGGGACGGTAAAGACATTTAATGTCAAAAATGTATAGTTCTTTTTAACTTTATAATAATCAAAGAATCTTTTTAAAGGGATAGTTCACCCCAAAATTAAAATTCTGTCATTCATTACTCACCCTCATGACATTCCAAACCCGTAAGACTTTCATGAAATCAGATCTTTATGTCCCTCCATTGACAGCCAATTTGACACTTTTTGAAAAAGTTATAGAGATTGTAAAATAATCCATATGAATTGAGAGGTTTAGTCCAATTTTTATTTAGAGACTCTGTTGCTTTGATGAACAGATTGAATTTAGGATTTTATTCACATATTCATGAACTGAAACGGAAGCTCAAACATGTTCACTTGATGTGCAAGAACCAATGAGCTTCATTCTTGTGTTACGCAGCACACTTGAGCTTCAGGGACAACCAATGAGGTTTGGTTAGTGAATAAAATCGTAAATTCAATCTGTTCATCATATAAAGGAAATGAGTCTCTTCAGAAAATTTGGACTAAACCACTCAATTTGGATTAATTCTACAATCTCTTTATGAACTTTTGAAGCATCAAAGTGTAAGTTGTGTAGCTACCAACGGAGGGATAGAACGCTCAGATTTAATAAAAAATATCTTCGTTTGTGTTCCGAAAACCTTAAAGGTTTGGAAAGACATGAGGGTGAGTAATTAATGACAGAATTTACATTTTTGGTTGAACTAACCCTTTAAGAAACTGTTTACAATAATAATAATTTAAAAACAATTGTTACTTGAGCACCAATCAGCATAATAGAATGATTTCTGAAGGATCATGTAACACTGAACAGTAATAGCTACTAAAAAAAATACTAAAAATTCAGCTTTGCATCACAGGAATAAATTTATTCTTTATTTATAAGTAAATTACATTTTTATAAGTATTTTGGATCAAATAAATGCAGTCTTGGTGGGTAAAAGTAAAATTACTTTTTTTCAACAACAACAAAAATTAATGGTACAGTGGAAATCCTGGTAATGTTAGCCGGTAAGGTTCGGTACATCTCTGCGTTCAGTACTGTTTACTGCCTAGTTGCAAAACTAAAAATGTAAACATTATGAATTATACAACAATAAACTTGTAGATAATGGGAAATGCTAACCAACAAAACAATGACCACTTGGTCTGATCATAAGAAAAAGACGTTCATTTGTCACGGTTCATTTTTCACAGTGGAAATGAAGGTCATTTCTGAATACATTATACCCCGCAGAAATGGAATAAATAATAGGCCATAGAGCGCATAGCTGATGTATTTCAACCAATAAGCAGTACTTAAGTTAGTTCAGCAGGTGGCACTGCATATATAGTATATTAATAGGTATACCTCTGCGTTGACTATAGTAGACATCAGCATTGATCTTTATTGCTGTGAGAATTAAAGATGAGGGCTTGACACACGGAGGCTGGTGCTAGACCAGTAACATCTACGTAAAGTTCACTGAATAGATATCATATCTCACACCTCCATTTCCCTTCACGCTTCACAGTGAGGTGCTGACTGAAGGTTATGGACCAAGATGGTTTACAATTAAACTAAAATGTGCACGATTGGCACGCCTGCGGGGAGCAGGACAGGACGATTAAGCTGCTAATACTATAGACAGTTAGACCTCACTTTCATTTTACCCATAGCTGCAGGGGAGAGGGAGATATTAGATGAGATTGAATGTAATGAAGCACTCTATTGTTTTTACAGGGAAGAATGATCAAGAGGTCTTTTAGACAGAAACTGCTATATGCTGATGTGTCTCATCAAGCAGCCAATTTGTTAATCATTCCGATAGTTAGATGGACATATCTCTGGATTTGTATTGGTGATCACAATAGATCATTTAGATCACTGAATCCCAACCTTGTCTTTTCTTATGTACCCTCTCAAGCCAAGCTGAATGGCTCAAGCATCCTCTCTTCAGCATTAAGAAGAGATGTGTTCATATGGGGACAGTTGTTAAATTAGCATTTTCATTGCATTTCCAGAGCATTTTGATTTGGTTTGAGTAATTATTTACATTTATTTGGTTATTGATTGCTTTAAGACATGATTAGAGGAGAACTTTGCGCCGGCACTTGGACAGACAGAAGTACTTGGACGTGACTGTGTGATTACAAGAGGTAAAAACAATATAAATACTGTTCGTTTTCTCACACAAACCGCTCGTTTCGTGTCTTAGGCCATCAATGTGTACTAACGTTTACGAGTCATTAAATCATGTTTAATTTGGACTTCTCTGTGCATGCTCTTTAAGGTGGACCCCATATACCTCCATTATATGACTGACAGACAAGAACGGTTTGACCTAAAAATATCAAAATACTGTGGAAACAAATACACCTACATCTTGGATGCCCTTGAGGTAAGCTAAAACATATCAACAATTAATTTCAAAGTGAGCTATCCCTTTAAGGTCATTCCAACATCTGACCTAAATTAAAACCATAAAAGAGCATTTGCGTTACATCAAATAATAATCTATAAATAAAGTAAACTTGACCTGAAAAAAAGTTACCAAAGTAAAATAAAAATGTTCTCTTTTGTGTGTGTGTGTGTGTGTGTGTGTGTGTGTGTGTGTTCACGTACCCCTGGTTGGGAAACATGTGATATAGAGTATAGACCCTTAAAAATGTGAGTGTTGCTTACCCATGTAAAAACTAAATAGGGCAGTGTTCTGCTTGGTTGCTATAATGTTCCTTGAATGTTCTTTTCCTATCTTTAAGGGTGGTTACTGGGTAGTTGTTTACTGGCGTAAGTCAAAAAGCACAACCCCAAAATCTCTGGTATTGTGTCTCCTAAATATGGCTCAATGTATGTCTATGGGATTTTTGCATAAATAAAATGTCAACACAGTCTCATGAAAGTGCTTATATACAGTATACCACGATTGTCATTTCTCGTGGCATTTATACACCAAAATTGGATATGCTACGCACTGAAAAAAACCCCAGGGCAGATATATGGCTCTGCCCCTGGGTTGGTTTAGGGGGAATGGGGGGTGGGGAGTTCGTACTTATTATACGCCAAAAAATGCGTATGCACGCGAAAAATGCGTACCAAATACACGCAAAAACTAGTTTTGGCGTATAAATGGCACGAGAAATGAAATTTGTGCTATAGATACGAACTTTCATGAGATGGATTGCACAAACAAACTAATAAGCTAAATATGATGCATATTTGTCAGTTATACATAGATTGGGCAAGAAACAGATACGATTTCAATTAGTTCTAAATGAAGTGTTTTAAATACACATAACCAGGATTATCACCAATAAATATATATATTTTTTAATCTCAACATCTTAACTGATTGCATATTGTTTATTCCACAGTTATATTTTTACCATGTTCACACTTTTATACATTAATAAATTGTTTTCACAATAAGTTATGCTGATTCTTATCACTTATCTTGATAATATGATCATTTAAATGAAAGTCTGTAACAAATGGTGTTTGATTAGTTACAGTGGTTTGTGGTTTGATCAAATCTCTAAGATAAGGATGAGCAATAGTGAAACACTCCAAAAAATGCTGGGTTTTTAATTGCATTTTTAAACCCAAATGGTTGGGTTTGTCCATTTCTGACCCATGCCTGGGTTGGTGATGCTATAGCCATAGCAGGAACCCTTAATAATCTCCACTTCTCATTGGTACTTGCTCAGTGAGCAAATTATTCAGATTCTTCCTCTGTTTACAACATTCACTGAGTTCCACTTTCCTCTCATGTGACATTTGTCTTTCTTTTATCAGCTCTCAGGATGAGTCGCGGGCGTATCTGCTTTTCTCGCCTTTGTGTCGGCAGGTTAGATTGACTGGCGTTTCCCCTCCCCAGAGTGCAGTTCTATTAATCTGTTTAATATGCCACAGAAAGGAGCAAAGTAATGGAACAGCCAAGCGTAAAAAAAAAAAAAAAAAATGCCTGCCAGCGCTGATAGCTGGAGGTCAAGGCTGAGGGGATTTCTTAGTTCCTCTAGCACACACAGTATAGCACATCTATCTATCTATCTATCTATCTATCTATCTATCTATCTATCTATCTATCTATCTATCTATCTATCTATCTATCTATCTATCTCACTCTCTCTTAGAAGAAAAGGTTCTATAGACCATTTCACAAGATGTAAACAACACTGGTCCAGAAGCACTTCCTGTTTCAGTTTTTTAACACTACATAAAAGCTGGGATAAAATACAACCAACAGAACATTTAAAACTGAATCAAAAGTTAAACAAACATCTTTAAGATGTTTTCTTTACATGTGAAATAAAGAAAACAGTTACAAACTGAAACAGGAAGTGTTTCTGGACCAGTGTTGTTTACATCTTGTGAAATGGTCAATATAGAACCTTAAAAGGTTATAAAGCGCTACGTATTTGAAACCCCTAAAATGCAATGCATGAATGATCACAAAATTCAAGATATGGGGGTTAAAAAATGTAATTAATCAATATTACACAAAGAGTGCCATTTCAGTTTTTATCCTTCAAAAATCAGCATGATTAAAATGGGATTTTAAGTTACTACAACAGTTTAATAAACAATAATTTAATTACAACTGCAAAATGTTGCGGAAAAATGTAATTATGAATGAATAGCCTATA